TCAGAACAGTAATTATTACATTCTAGGAGCTGCTATGCTAATGTGTATAAACTAAAAAAAATAAACTAAATGAGAATAAATAAAGATAATTACATAAAGATAGTAATTAATGATATTGTTTGATGAAGCTTAAAATAAATATGAATCTGATAAAATAATTATTTCAGACAACAGTATCGTTCTGGAACCCTTATATACATTTTTGAATACAAAAAAATAAAAATATTTCAAGTATTTTAGTTTTGTAAGATTTCATTTCAAATACAATTTCTTATACATAATTCTTTTCCAAGATAAATACTCAAACTTTTATTAAGATTTTATAAAGATTTTATTAAGACGTAGTAAAAATTAAGCATACTAATAAATTTCTGACCATAGAAAAAATAAAACACCTCTAGTACGATTATGAACTTACACAGGTCGAATCTGAATAAGATCATAGTTTTTATAAATATATATCAAAACTACAATACGCATATAGTGATGATTGATTACATGTTATCAGATAACTATAAAAACATAATTTACCCAAGTTTTGTATATATTATGATAAAAATATTTTTAAATCTATTCAATCATTTTTCTGGAAATACAACAATTAGTTTGAATTGTGTAATTGGTATCGTCATGAATGATTCCAGTTACACGCATTCGACGAGATTGTAAATTACATGTATTGGTTTTGCAATATGTATGGCGTTATGCTGTTATATCTTCTTAGGATTTAGAATACCAATATACATAAATTATAAATAATTTCTTATAATCGTCATAAAAGCCCCGGGATTCTGAAATTTGTTGTTATATTTTTTTTAATTAAACAGAAGCTGGTAATATATATTTTTATAATTAGTGTCATATGACTATGAGTTACAGAACTAAGGCTTATTAAAAAAATTTAAATTTATATTTTTTATGGTAATATATTTAATATTTTCAGAATTTTTATCTATTACTCAAACAATTTTAACAACATTAAGGCTATGTTAAAAAAACGTTAATATATTAGAAAAATATTAATTCTATTTATTTATCTGATAAATATTAATTTTATACATTAAGTATAAAATAGAAAATTGTGTTTAATATTGACATTTTGCAATTATTACTACAAAACAAAATATAACTAACAAAAGTTTATTATTATATTATATGATAACTAAAAAAATGTTTATTATTTTTTTATTATTTATTTATATTCATATACATTTTTATGTTTACCAACATAATTAATTTTATGCAACTTACGGTTCGCGCTGATCACGATAAAAAAAATAATAAAATTTAAATTTAAAAAATTTTATTGAGACATTAAAATTAATAGTTAATTGAATAAAGAGTTAATTGAATAAAGAGTAACAGTACAATTAATTATATTTATTAATTAATTATTTATTATTAATTAATTTATTATTAATTAATTTTATTTAACAAATTGAAATGAATAATTATTTATATTTTAAAATAAGGTTTTTTTTTAAATGAGAGTGAAAATGGGAGTTATGTAATTTATATATTTAATTATTACTATTCACATTTACATTATATTAATTAAAATTATTTTAAAACAAAACACATATAACATCAATAAAGTACATATATATAATTTTAACGTTTCACATCTACCTGGTTTTTTGGATATCAATTTTTAATATTTTATTTTAAATATTTCAAAATATAAAAATTGTAAATAATTAATAATTAAATTAATCAACTTCCCGTAGAATAAATTATTGTAATTGCAAAAAAATCGAAAATGAAAATTATATTATATCTTTACGTTTCAAATGTTTGTGAGCATTTTGGCATACTTTAGAAAAAATTAGACATTTGCACATCAAATTATCAGAAAAATAACTCTGATGTTATATAATATGAATGAATAAAAACAAATTAACCGATATTTCAATAAGTACAAATTTTGTTTACTTTTCTATGGGTTTCATATCTGTTAGACTGCGGTGCGGCGCTTACGCGCTTTGATATTTTATGTCCAAACAGCTACGCAGTGCGATTGCTTTCGAAAAAAGTTCAATATTTTCAACAAATTTCTAATTAAAAAAAATCAGATTTTTCAAAAAAGTCATTTTTTTTTCAAAAAGTTCAAAATTGTCAAAACTATTTTTTTCAAAATTTCCAAAAAAAAAATGATTTTTTTTTTTTTTTAAATAATTTTTGATACGGAAAATTACAGCAATTTGCCTTGAAGCACGATGCCATGCATCACTAGGTTTTTATGTTATTTAATAAGTACAAATTTTGTTTACATTTTCCATATCTGATAGACTACGGCGAGGCGCTTACGCGCTTCGATATTTTATGTCTAAAACAGCTACGCAGTGCGATTGCTTTGGAAAAAAGTTCAAAATTTTCGAAAAATTTCTAATTATAAAAAAATCAAATTTTTCAAAAAAGTCAATTTTTTTCAAAAATTTCAAAATTATCAAAAATCTATTTTTTTCAAAATTTCAAAAAAAAATCGAATTTTTTTTAAAAAAAATAATTTTTGGTACGGGAAGTTACAGCAATTTGCCTTAAAGAACGATGCCATGCACCACTAGTCTTATGTATTTTAACAGATTATACCAGCAATAGAAATGTATATTTTAACTTGGCGTTCGTCGAACGTACAAGTCCCTTTCATAACAAAGAACAGCTGTGCGATGTTTGATACTCACTGCACTCGTTGGAAAGAGGCATGTAAATTCAATAATGAAATACATACTATTATTTAGAAACACGTACAAACATTTTTTAAAATTCGATTTTTTATACGACTTACTAGAAATAATGTACAAAATATAATGATATTGATTGATTGACATACATTGATTTTTCACTATATTAATTACTGTACACCCATCACCCGTTTTACACGTTTTGGATCTTAAACGATTTTTCAAAATATTTTTTTATAATGAAATTTATCAATTTTGCATTTACACGAAATTATAAATACTAAACTATAATTTGCTTATATCTACAATAACACTACAAAATGTAAGTTACAGGTACGAATTCTTAGTACATAGTATATATGTATGATGCAAATGAAGAAAATATGTGAACACTCCTTTTTATGATCAAAACTAAATTTTATGTCCGTATATGAAAAAGATGTAGAACACCCCGTTTTATGATCTAAACTAAATATTACGTGTGTATATGCTAATTTGTTTAAAATACCAAAACAAAGAGCATCATTATATTTAAACTTTGTTTTTAATCAGTACTTATGTATAATTGATAGCGTAAATTTATTCAAGGCGAGCAATTAACAGAATTATTTTTAAAAAATATATATTTATCTAATCTTTTATAATTCGATAATGGCAAAATATAAAAATAAAAAACTAGAAATTAAAAAAAAAGTTATATCTTTACATACCAAAATTAAAATTTTGAACCGTCTCCATAATAATGAAAAAATAATAAATGTTGTTAAGTTTTATTTATGAATGAAGCTATAATTTATTTAATGTTTGTGATATTAAATATATTAATATTTATTTTTTGTTAAAAGTGTTTGTTACTCGTCATATTAAAAACTGGTAAAATGGGCATTTTTATGGTGATTTTCGTTTATCACGGTTTTTCCATATAAAAGTAAATTAATTTAATTCCATATTGAAGTGAAATTTTTAATTATTATTTATAATTTAGTATTAATAATTTATGATGTCGTTTAATTTCATTCAATTGTGTGTTCAGATTTACGCCGAGCAAAAATGTCATTAGAATTTATAAGTGTTTGTTATTCATCATAATAAAAACTGGCAAAATGGGCTTTTCATAATGATTTTTGTTTACCACGGTTTTTTCATATAAAAGTGAATTTTTCGAGTTTTTCATGGAACCTTTTTAATTAATATTTAGAGTTTAGTAATAATAGTTTATGATGTTGATTTATTTAATTTAATTGTGTGTTCATATTTACGCCGAGCAAAAATTTCATTTCAAAAAAACAGGAATTTTATAAAAAAATAATAGATATTCCCAATTTTTACTTATGAATGAAGCTATAATTTATTAAATGCGTTTTATATTAAATGTATTAGAATTTATAAAAAAAATAATGGATGTTCATAATTTTTACCTATGAATGAAGCTATAATTTATCAAATGCGTTTCATATTAAACATATTAGAATTTAAAAAAAAAAATAGATGTTCCTAATTTTTACTTATGAATGAAGCTATAATTTATCAAATGCGTTTTATATTAAATATATTAGAATTTATATGTGTTTGTTATTCATCATAATAAAAACTGGCAAAATAGGCTTTTCATAGTAATTTTTGTTTACCACGGTTTTTTCATATGAAAGTGAATTTTTCGAGTTACACGGTTTTTTATGGAACCATTTTAATTAATATTTAGTGTTTAGTAATAATAGTTTATAATGTTGATTTATTCAATTTAATTGTGTGTTCAAATTTACGACGAGCAAAAATTAGCTATAATTATTTATTTTTTTTATATTTGAAATAATGATTATTTTTTCACTAATAAAAACTAGACAACGTAACTAAAATTAATTTCGAAGAAAATCAAATAATTCCAAACTGCACTCTCGTACACTCGTTTCAGAGGAAAAACTTAAAAAGTCAGTTCTGTGTTCTGTCATCCAACGGTTGTACAATTCAAACGTATCTCTTTCCTCCGACCAATCAGCGTCGAGTGCACGCTCTCGACCAATCGCGTGCCGGCAACGTCATACGCGTCACACGCATAGTATTTAAAGCGTCGCGCGGCCGTCGAATGCTTCAGACCGAATGGACGTGTACGACAGAGAGTCTGTTTGGCACGAAGTTGCTTAAAGCCTTCAGTGGACGCTGAAACAATTAAAATTATTCTAGTCAAATATTACATTGGTAGTTTAAAGCCTCGTGTGTGCTTGAAGACAAAAAGTGCCTTTGTACAAAAACAAACAGTGATATTTAATTTATGAAATCGTTATAAAACGTGTGTCGTATGATACTTGGATATTTAAAAAAAAGTGATACTTGTTAGTCAGTTTAAACCCTATATGCACAAAGGGATATAATAAGACATAGTTAAAATTATTGCAAAAATGGTTGGAAGTAACGGTACAATGATGGCAATACGTGTTGTTCGCAGTAAACTGAGGAAACGCGAAGAGCACTCTAACTCTGTTCATCCAGAGGCGCCCCAGACAATTACGGCGGTTGTACCACCTGCTGAGCCAGTGGCGTACAGGCAACAACCCATCTGGGTGTTCCCGCCGAACCCGCCGCAGCCCTTCCTGTACAGCAGCAATCAGGTAAATGACAAAAAAAAATCTCATTATTTGTAACACTTTTTAACAATACTAATAAATTCACACAAAGTTTGTGTTATATTCATAATACTGAATTTTGCGACTAAAAAACAACTTTTGCTTCTGTCCGTCAAAGTTCCAAATTCGCTACTCGATCGTTTTTTTAACTCTTGTTGTTCGAAAATTTCGTTTAATTAGAATAAACAGATATCACCCGGCTATTGATAAACGTTTGAACAAAAAATCTAATCCAAAAAAATATTTAGTTATAATTAAGTATGTGTATTATTAAAAGGTTTGATATGCAACTTTTTGCCAAGCCTTTTTTTACTGAAATGTTTGAATTAATTTCATAATACACAAGTGTTTGTCGACTTTCGCAATGCATTGTAAATATACAAGCAACTGAAAAAATGTTTTTATATAAGCCATTAAATTCACTAGAGTCATATCACGAATAATTTTGTAATTAGCGAAAAATATTTTGATTAAAATATATAACCGGACACAAGTTTTTAGTATGCTTCGTAATATTACATTGCCTCACATACGGCATATCTTATCATGAGTGCTTATTCATATACTTTAATTAAAAAAAAAAATCTGCTGGTAACTAGGATATTAATCTATCAAAAATGCTATGCAAAAATTGTATGTTTATTTGATTTTTTTTAATTTGTTGCAATTTTTAATAAATTGCCTTATGTAAATAAATAACAATTTTTTTTCTTCAATTTACTCAAAATATTGCTTTATCATATTATAATAAGCCGAACGGCAGATTTTAGTCATTGCTTTAAATATTATGAATCCGTAGTTTTTTTCTTTTAGAAAGTTGATTTACAATAGCACCTTGTATTCAGGTTGACGGCTTTATTTTGCAACATTGCCAAATCGTCTAAAGCGTGCGCTTAACTACATCTATGATTTAGTCACTATACCAACCATTTTTACTTTAGCTAATATTAAAACCACGCCAGTTATCTAAAAACTTCTCAATGTTCGTCAATCAGCTGATATCTGTTTGATCTCATTATCTGTACTCATGTTATAAATATAGAAATTTGCCTGGCATTGTTAATAATATTTTTGTTTCTTATTTCAGGACACCCTGTCACAAAATTTGAGCCGCAGCGGTAGCTTCCGTAAGAACTTAGGCGGTCGCTGGAAAAGATTTGTCAAGGGAAAACCTCAACAGGATTCCCATGCTATACCACCTGAATTGAAACCTCAGCTGAAACAGATATTTGTCTACTGAAATATCTGCTTCTAGTACATATTAGTAATAAGTGGCCATCAAAGATATTAAAATTAATTTGCCAGTCCTGTTTATTGAGGGAAGAACTTCAAAATCATCTATTACAAGGATTATTTCAAGTGCCATTGGTAGATAAAACATAAAGTAGATATACCTTAATGCCAGGAGTATATATATAACTAATGAAAAATGAACTAAATTTGAACTGGATTTCAAATTTTGACTGGATCTGTAACTTTTTGTAGTTCCCTTCTATTAAATAGGATATTTGTATTCATCGCATTTTATGACCTGAAGGAGGTCAAATATTCCACTGTTTCTTTTGCATAAATTTTATTAAGTGATAGTAAGAATTTTATACTTAGGGTCTAATCAAAAGAGCCGTCACACTTATTTTTTCTAATTTCATAATTAAAATTGGCTATATTTGTCCCTAAGTTGTAAAGTTCTTAGTTTATTGTAAATATTATATTTATAGCGTATAGATTCATTTTTCATTGTTGTGATTGACTTAATTGATTTGACATACTGTACTTGAGATATTGACAAATTGCACTTTGTACTGTGATAAAATTAACAAATGCATTTGTATGGATCATTGTTTATTTATGTTAGTAACAGTGCAATTAGTTTTAAATATTGAATTTTAAATTTTCGACTCATATTGAGTTTATAATGCGTATCACATTTCATTGATTCAAATTGTGTGAACGAGTTTGATTGTGATGTATGGACATTAATTTTAATATTAAACTTAATCAGTAATTTAAAAAAATTCCAATTATTAGGTCAGTATTTTAGAGAAGGATTATGTATCATTTTAGCACAATTGTTGTGAAATTATTTATTTTTTAAGAATTTTAAGTCAACTTAATGGTTTTAATCAAATTTATATTATAATTGTCCTTAATACACATTAATTAGTGATCAATAAATGCAATAAGAACAATAATTAGTTTTTTTTTAATTATTTCAGGGATCTATTTTGATCTGACCCTGCTATTGTAAAATTCACACTTGTCACAAATACTTGTTCAATGCCTTAAATAACAAAAAAGAAAACAATTTGGTTTAAAATTTAATTTATCTTATGGATTAACAGCAAACATGTTGAAATTACTCACATGCCCATATCAAAATGGATGTGGAACAGTTAAAACAAGCCCAATGCTACCAATCATATTATACAATTAAATCGTTTAATAAATGTTAATATTAATATCAATCAATATTAAGTTGAAATTCATAAATGTTAACTACAGTTACATTTTTAGTGGATTTTTTTTTTTGACATCATTAAAAAACTGAACAATTGAAGCACATGCATTGTTGGAACGAGTTGATAATCACAAAACTGCCAAAAGCTGTCTTTGCTGTTCAATGAAGCATTTTACACAATATCAAGTGGTGAGAAGACTTACAATATCTATATCTATATATAATTTATATAACTTATAAGCAATTTATTTTTAAAATTAGTTGATACTAAAAAGTATTGTGACACCCAGGTAAAAAAATATTTGTATGTATTGTATTCTCGATATTTTTTTAGATTAAATCAAATTGGTATTTCAATGTAATTCTGATCATATTTGCAACTGGCCTAAATAAATTAGACGATACATTTAAATTAACTGCAACAGTTGTATAAGGTTGCTCGGAAAGTCACTTCGTTTTTTTAACAGAATTTAATTATATTTTTTTGAACCTAACATCACACTTAAGCCTATGATTATTATATGATTTGAAAACTTATATTTTAGGCTTGTATGTAAAAAATTCTAATCGCTGACATGCAGTAGTTTTAGGATGGTGCCACTTAGAATACGGAAAGAATTAAGCAGCGTTTTCGACATATTTTACTCTTTTGCTATAGAAAAGGTAAAAAAATTTTTTAAGTCAAAATTAAATTGATTGATGCATACGATAGTACGACAGTGCCAAAATTGGTTTGCTAAATTTCATTCCTGGTATTTTGATGTCCAAGATGCATCAAGTCCAAAAAGTACGGTTGAAGCTAATAAAGACGCGAGAAAAGCATCAGTTGATGCAAACCAACAAATAATAATAAATGAGATCTCATTGAGTAAAAAATTATCGATTTTCCAGTTCATGACCTCTCAAAAGGTCTGGGATTTTCCTCGAAACTCAATGTATGGTTTTCATAAAAAGAAACGTGTGTCGCACTGGCGTCCGCGATTCGCCTCTGAAAAGTCTTGAAAATTATCAGGTTTTGAAGCGAATTGTCACTAGGAATTTCAAATGGAATACAATACACGCATTTGTACATAAAACAAAGACAAACCTGCTCAAAACAGGTGCAAAACTGAAATTTGCCAGAATAAGGTGATGCAGTACGTTTGGTTAGATTTCAACGGAGTTGTTCATTTTTCAGCTTAACCAGGATAACAAAACGGTTAATTCGGATGCCTTATGTCATATACTTCAATAGAAAAGGTTAGAATTAACCCACAATAAGGTATAGTCCTGCATCAAGACGAAGACGCAATACCTCACATAAGTTTGTTCAATCGCCAGAAGCTTTTGAAGCTTGAATGGGAACCAATGACATACTCATCATATTCTTTAAACCTGTCGTCATCGGACCATTATTTGTTCCGGCTACTAAAAAAATTTTGGGCGTTAAAACCTTTACCTCAAATCAGCCTGTTAAAAAGCACTTTGATCAGTTTTTTGCCAATAACGACCAAAACATTTATGATTTCGGAATTATGCTAATACCAGAAATATGACAAAAGATATTCAATAAAAACTGCAAATAATACAAATACATAATTTATTAAAGTAATTGTTTATTGTGAAAATTACGCGCAAAATGTCTATAAAAACGAAGTTACTTTCCGAACAACCAATAGTTTTTGTTAAAGCTTTGGTGCTTTTGAGTACTCTAGGTGCCCTCAACCACCGAACGAACACGAATGATGATGACGAATAATATGCGCAGCTAAAACTGCAAACGAAAGCGAACCGCGCGCATATTATTTATAAGTCATTTTGTTCGTGCTCATTCGTTAAGTGAAGAAGTGCCTTTATGGGTTTAGGTCCTTGCTAATTTATTAACGCCATGCATTGAAACCGAGCATCACTAGAGCGCGCTCATGTTTTT